GCAGGCTGGGGGCTGGCAGCCTCCCAGCCCCCAGCAGGTCTTCACTCTATGGGCTCTCTGGCCTTCTCTCGGTTTTCTGCTTGGCTTCTGTTCATTCTTGGCTTCTGCTGGTGTCCCGTGACGCCGCCTTAAAAGCACAGTCTTAGCCAGGTGGATCTCATCTACCTATGCCACACCCTATACCAGGTGCCGCCATCAGGCATGCATTCAGGACCGAAGATCCATCATCTATCCTGAGTGCGGGAGGGCAGAAAAGCCTGACATTTTTTCTTTACCCTACAGCAGGTAAGACAGAAGAGGTCTGCTGCGCCATGTGGGTCACCTCCTTGGCCAAGGATAAAACTCATACTGCAGTGGTTGGCGATAACTTAATAGTGTCGAGATTTAACCCCTCCACCACCAGGGAGGCCCAATGGAAAGGAACTTTAATACAATTAGCGTCAATACAGAAAAGGGAAAGAAAAAGTTTTCCAATCAAGCATCCAGTTACCCATTCCCTCATAGGTAAATGTTCAACAAAACAGGGTTGGCCCTAGCAGGGCCTCTGAGGCCCCGAAATCCTGCCACAAGTCAAAAACACCTTCTGGTGGGTATCCATATAAAAGGGTCAGAAATAGCTAGACAAGTCTGGAAGGAAAAGAGCAAAATCAAAATCGAGATCAATGCTGCCATTGTTAATCTCCCCATGGTCTCTCATCTGTTTCAACCAGTCCAAGACCAAAAACTTGAGCAAGTGCAACTTCTTCGCATGTCTCTTTGCTCCATGTGCCTCCTCCAGGTCACCTAGATCTCCATCCTTCTCCCTTCCCCAGTCTCCTCTCCAGCTTCTTCTGCCTGCTCAGCTCTACCCTTCCTTGGATGGGGCAGGGAACCTGGAAACTCCCCTTTTCCTGGGGACAACCCTGTTACAATATAACAACTTGATTTAAGTACATTCTACCCAATTTAAGAATGAAATCAACAATTGTAATAGTGTGTAATATTCTAGAAAGTCAAGGCCAATGATGCCTTAGATATACCGTTTACTCAGCTTTCATTTGCTCTACAAAGAAAACCTGCCCTAGAGAGGTGAAACTATTTCAAGGAAATTCCTAGTTTCCCATTTGGCTGCAAATTCCCTATGGATTAGTTTCACTTGGAGATGCAAATTACTCCCTGGAACATGGAAAGCCTAGTTTACCTTGATTGCCTCCTGACATCTAGATTGCTGAGAGAAGGGTCCTAATGAGAAACTTTTCCCCAGAGAGACTGATGCCAGCTACAGAAGGGAGGGGTTTTGATTGACTCCCTTAAATCTGTGAAAGTAAAATTTGAGTGGAAAGACAAAAAGGAGGCAGCAATAATAGCGCAGAGATTACTCTTAGAACTTTGTGTTTGCACATGCTTTTAACTCTGTTCTCAAATTTTCCTAGGAATAATTAGGGGAAAAATACCAATGACAATCATAAGAGGAATGCAAATCAAAACCACAAATAGGGCCTCCCTGGTGGCACAAGGGGTTAAGTCTCAGCACTATGATGCTGTAGGGTAAGGTAAAAAGTATCAGGCTTTTCTGCCCTCCCGCCATTAGGATGGATGACAGAATCCTGTGGTCCCGAATGCATGCCTAATGGCGGGCACCTGGAGTAGGTGTGGGCATATGTAGATGGTATTCACCTGGGCTAAGACTGGGCTTTTAAGGGCGGCGTCACAGGGATGCCAGCAGAAGCCAAGAACAAACAGAAGCAGGAGAGCAGAGAAGCAGACAGAACATGAGAGAAGGCCGGAGAGCCCAGATAGAGTGAAGACTTGCTGAGGGCTGGGAGGTCTGCCAGCCTCCTGGCTCCCTAGCACCCCTACCTGCCATGTGCCTGGTAAATCAAAATAAAAAACTGGCAAAATCCACTAGGACTCTGACTCCTCCTTTACCCGGTCTCCTGGATCAGAAAACCTGCACTGTGTCCTGCCCTGCCCCTACAGATGTCATCAGTAGCCACTGCAGCACTAGTGAGATCCCAGTCCAGGGAGCTAACACATGACACAGCAGATCTCTCCTTGTTCAAGGGCAGGGAGAGGGGCATCCTAGAGCCCCCAAATCTGCCTGTTCTAAATAGGTTCTGCCATCTGCCGCATCAACATAAAACATATAAGACTTTAATGGAAAGGAACTTGAATACAATTAGTAAACAATACAGAAAAGACAAAGAATATAGTTTCTAAATCAAGCACCCAAAGGCACCCACACCCTCATGGGTAAAAGTCCATCCAAACGGGATTGGCCTAGAGCAAGACCCAAAAGCCTGCCACAAGGCTAAAGCACCTTCTGGTGGTGACCCACAGAAAAGGATCAGAAACAACCAGACAAGTCTGGGAGGAAAAAAGCAAAAGCAAAATCAAGATCAACACTGCCATTGTTAACCTCCCCACAGGTCTCTCACCCACATCTGTTTCAACCAGTCCATGACTGTAATGCAACCAACCCTTTCCGGGTAGGTTTATTAATGGTTCTAGCAGCCACGTGCTCTTTGCTGTTGTTTGTAGTTGCTGTACTCCTCCGTACACTCCACTGCACTCCTCCACCCCTGACACCTCACCACCACCACACCACACTCTGCTGTGCCACCCTTATAAACCAGTCTCTTAGCCCAGGTGTACCCACCTATGCATGCCCACACCCTACTCCAGGTGCCCGCCATCAGGCATGCATTAGGACCATCTATCCTGATGGTGGGAGTGCAGAAAAGCCTGATACCTTTTACCTACCCTACAATGACCAAAAGGCAAGCACAGTTTCTTCACATGTCTCTCTGCTCCATGTGCCTCCTCCAGGTCTGGCTCTCCATCCTGCTTCCTTTCTTTGTCTCTTCTCCAGCTTCTTCTCCCTGTTCAGCTCCACCCTCCTTGGGGTGGGGCAGAGAACCTGGAACTACCCCTTTTCCTGAGCACCACCCTGATACATCCTGTCATGCTTGCTGCTCCCCTCAGCAGTGTATTTCAGTCAATCCATCTGTTCTGCTCCCCACGCTGTCTGGTGAATCCTCTCACCCTGCACCTCTGTCCTACACCCCAGCTCTTGTATGGGTAAATAAATAAATTTTAAAAAATAAAAATAAATAACATGGTAAATTTTATGTATATTTTCCCATGATTCAAAATTTTTAAAATTTAAAAATGCCTCAGCCCCAATCCTGTATCAGCATATTCTCAATGACAGTGTATTTTTTTTATTTTTTTAAGATTTATTTTATTTATTTAGGCTAAAAGAACAGGAATATAGGCTAGAGGTGCAGGGGAGTGAGAGGATTCACCAGAGACAGAGTAGGGAACAGAACAGGCAGATTGTCTGAAATATACTGCTGAGGGGAGCAGCGGGCGAGACAGGAGAGGTCTGCTGTGCCATGTGGGTCAGCTCCCTGGCCAGGGATCGAATTTGTGCTGCAGCGGCTGTTGATAACTTGATAGCACTGAGACTTTAACCCCTGCACCACCAGGAAGGCCCTGGCAGTGTATTTCATCATTTTACTGAAACTATGAGTACAGCTGGATAGAGTATGACTCATGGTGGAAATGTTGAAGCATGGTCTTGTTCTTTGGAGTGATGACATATGAACATTCAGATAAATCCTGCCTGCAGAATCAGTGATGATTAGTATAATCGAATGAGTGCTTTATAAATGAGGACTTGCAGCTAGAGAAAACTCACAAGGATATGTTGGCTCCACACAGTGTCCACATTCAAAAATGATGCATTTGGGGCCTCCCCGGTGGCGCAGCGGTTGAGCCCTGGGTTGCGAAGCTGCCCGAGGCCTCTGCGGCGCCGGTTCGATCCCCAGCTGCTCCCCGGCCACTGGAGGAGGGTCC